GGGGGGGGGGGGCTGTAGCTTTGGGGTTCTCATGAGGCGATGGAGGGAGTCTGAAGTGGTATGTCGAGTGGTGATACCAGATGCAGGCGGGTGTGGCCGTTGTCCTGGGGAGGGGGGGCGGCGGCGGCATCGGGGAGGATTTCTTGAGCGGCTTCTCCATCCAGCTGGGCGCCGTCCAGTTTGCTGTAGTCTTATCTCCGGATGAAAGACAGTGGGTAAGCCAACGCGGCCTTCGAGTTCGGCTCGCATTGTTCCTGAGGTATCACTTGGAAGAAGATTAGGCTTTTCAAACCCAGCATTTCAAACCCAGTAGCAGAGCTGAAGGTCTCCCGGGCGCCTGGCAGTGCTGTGAAGGACGTGCCAGGGACGGGCTGGCCTGCTGGCGTGTTGAGCGCTCAGGATTCTCTGCCCACAAAACAGAAATTGTCCAACATGCAACTTTCACAGACTTTTGAAGCCCCTCTTCACTCTTTCTCCAGAAGCTACTGGAGGATGCCAACCAGCAAAACAAAGAAGTGCAGCAAGAAAGAGGATACAGAAAGTGGGCAATGATGTGTGGGAGAGGGGTGGTGGGATTCCCCCCCCCCCCGCCGGGGGGGATGGCATCTGTGCACGGGCAGAGAGAACCTGGCTCAGCCGGCGACGGGACAAACACGGGTGGGCCAGTGACATGGATGTCACCCTTGGGGCCTCTGACACGGTGGGAATGTAGACTGTCAGCCAAGCGTTTAGGCCGGAATTTGGAATCACTACTCAGAAAACTTAGCAGGTGAAAAGGTAGGACAGTACACTCCAGGGAGAACAAAGCACCGAAAGTTGTGTGTAAAAGGGAAATATAAACGTGGATTGAAGTTTACTTTGTGGCTCGGCTCCGAGTAGCATTTACACAGTTAACGGTAGCTGTCGTATTTGGTTGGAGTATTGATCTCCGTTGGGATGGTGGGACCAGAAGGCTGCAGGTGGTACAGGCAATGGGGGGTGGGGGGGGGGTGGGGATAGACTTATGTCCTCGTCTTCATAGCACAATGACCACACGTGATGCCTAAAATGAAAAATCAAGATGAAGCTATACAAACTTATTAGTTGGAGGCTTGAAGGGAAATGCCTAAAAACCATACCAAGAGTCCCAATTGGTTGCCTCTGGAATGTTTGTTACAAGGCTTACAGAATGACTTCACTTTGTTTTGTTGTTGTTGTTTTTTAATTTATTTTGAGAGAGAGAGACAGAGAGAGAATCCCAAGCAGTCTCCGCACTGTCAGCATGGAGCCCGACGTGGGGCTCAACGTCATGAACCCTGAGATCATGACCTGAGCTGAAATCAAGAGTCAGACGCTTAACTGACTGAGCCCCCCAGGCGCCCCCAGAATGACTTGAATTTTTTAAGCAGTGTGTATATGTAACTTTAATAAAAGTAAAAACTCAATATACTATTTAGCAGAAAGAAGTCAATGTAACAGGACTGAGACCTATTTCTAACGAGCATGGTGGGCCCTCTCCTACATGAAAAGTTCTGCTCACAAGGTGGTCCTCAGCTAGCCTTTGGGAACTTCATTTTGGAAACGGCTCCCCCCCGTTCCCAGATACGAACAGCTCACCCTACTAACCTGTGTGAACAGTGTGGTTAGTGTGGAACACCTGGGGGTCCGGAATTTGGGTACGTGCCGGGCAGATGGAGCCCGTGTGACCAGCCCCCCGATCGTACCCTGGACACCGATGCGTATGGTGAATCCTGGTCACTTATCATACCTAACGGTGCCCCAGGGGACCTCGAAGACAGCAAATATACTTGACTGTTAACAGATGGCATTTTTTTTTTCCCAGCGTCGAGATCGGTGAGAGCGTGAGGGGCGAAGATGTCTATATCATCCAGAGTGGCTGTGGAGAAATCAACGACAACCTCATGGAGCTTCTCATCATGATCAATGCCTGTAAGATCGCGTCATCTTCCAGGGTGACTGCCGTGATCCCGTGTTTTCCGTATGCTCGGCAAGACAAAAAGGACAAGGTAGGAGATTTGGGTCCTGTTGGAGGAACCCGCTCTGGGTGAACATCAGCCTTTTTTCCTCCCCTCCCATAGTAACTCAGAGTATCTGGGAAACATTTGCTTTCTATTTTAAGGACTGTGTAAATACGGTATCTCATCCTGGCTTTTCAAAGGTTTGTCTTTGAACCAGCCATCACGTTAATATTTACACATCTACATACAGATAAGGCATATTTTTGCATGTATTACAATACCATATAGCCCTGGTGGCAAAATTGTTGTCTATCTCGATGGTGGTGGGCAGAACTTAATAATGCCACCCGCTGAGTACAGAAAACTGGGGAATGGGAATCACATCGCTGGAGCATATCAACGCCAGTACCTCGGTTGTGATTCTATACTATAGTTTTGCAAGATGTTCCCATGAGCCCAAACTGGGTAAAGGGCACAACGGGACCTTTGAATTGAGGTGAGTCTACAGCTCTCTCAAGATAAAACATGTAATTTAAAAAGATACACCGTTACCTCTTTGTAACCGTTCAAGAAGAACGAAGGTTGACATCATTGAATGTTTCTTTTAGCAACAGTAGCACTAGAGGAGGCTGTGTGGGTTTCTAGAAGAAATTAAAGATCTAGACCTTGCCTTTGAGGACAAAGAGAGAAGTTGGAATTTCTGGGGAGCTTTAGAAGGGATTGTATTAGTTTCCCACGGCTGCTGTAACACATCACCACACTCTGGGTGGCCTAAAACAACAGAACCATGTTCTGTCACCATTCTGGAGGCCAAGCGTCAGAGAACAAGGTGTCGGCAGGGCCACGCTCCTTCTGGATACTCTGTGTGGGAAGCCTTCTTTGCCTCTTCCGGTTTCCGGTGGCTCCTGGCATTCCTCGGCTTCTGGAAGCGTCACTCTCACCTCTGCCTCTTTCTTCACATGGCCTTCTTCCCTGTGTCCGTGTGTACTTTTCTTTTATAAAAGGACAGCCGTGGGGTTAGAACCCAGCCTGATCCAGAGTGATCTCATTTTGATCTTTGCCTTACTTCTATCTGCAAACACCCTATTTTTATTTTTTTATTGTTATTTTTAATTTCTCTTTAAGTAATCTGTACACCCAAGGTGGGGCTCGAACTCACGACCCCGAGCTCAAGAGTCGCAATCTTTTCTGACTGAGCCAGCCAGGCGCCCCTGCAAACACCCTATTTTTAAATGAGGTCACATTTTGAGGCTCTGGGTAGACAAGTTTTAGGGGGATATCACTCAAACCATGATAGGGATCAACCCCTAAGCTTTTATCTGCTTTATATCTTACGAATAGGTAGCTGTTCAGTCGGGTTCCGTGTGAATCCTTCCATTTTGCAAGACACACGGCTGTTCTGTGATATGGTGACTAATCACGAGAAGGGTTCCCCCCGATACACCTCCATTTATCACCCTAATTTATTTTCTGAAACAACACAGATTTCCAAACAGCATACAAGATTCCCTCATATATGAAAAAAATTCCTTTATAAAGTTTTTTTTCATGTTTATGTATTTATTTTGCGAGAGAGAGAGAGAGGGAGAGAATGAATGAATGAATGAATCCCAAGCAGGCTCAGCACTGTCAGCGTGGAACACGACATGGGACTTGATCCCACGAACCATGAGATCGTGACCTGAGCTGAAATCGAGAGTCTGAGGCTTACCCGGCTGAGCCACCCAGGTGCCCCCAAAATTCCTTTATAAATTTGAATTCCCATACTGAGGTCCCCCTAAATTATAATGCCTCTTCAGATGTGGTTCCCAGGCCCCATGCCGAATACAGCTGTCTGTTAATTTCTCACTAGAAATTTGATCTCCAGAACTCGATTCTGCAGTTGAGATATGATTTACCCTGTATCGATTAGAAGGGGTCAGCATCGTTTTTTCTGTAAAGGGGTGTCTGGTCTCTGTGGCAGCAGCTGAACTTGGGTTGTAAATGGCGGGTGTGGCTGGATTCCAGTGCAACCTTTATTTATGGAGACTGCAATGTGAATTTCATGTAATTGTCACTTGCCATAAAACGTTCTTCTTTTGTTTTTTTTTTTTTTCTTTTCATCCAGCTATTTACTCCTGTAAAAACCATTACTACCTCACAAGCAGCACAAAAACAAGTGGCTGGTCGTGAGACTGGGTGTGTGTGACGTCGTGACCATGTGTCTGTATCACTTTGTGATGTAGCTTTAGCTGAGGGCAGCGAGAACCTTAAGTCCCATGTGCTGCTGTGAAGTTTTCTCTGTCTGCATCTTTAGCTATTAAAGCTCCATTCATTTTTGTCCCCTAAGTATGATCTCTTGTCTTAGGTATTCCTCCCATTTGTGCGTTTCCATGGGACTGTTAGCATCTTCACTTTTGTCCATATCACAAAGGAGCCAATGATATTCTGCTGTTTCTCGTCTGTGTAGCAAGAAGTTTAGTAAATTCGGTATTCCGTGATTTGCAATCGGGTTCTCCTTTTGCTTTGGCATTCAGTGCTAAGATAAGCAGTGCATTGTATCTTCTTGGGTAAATGATTCCTTTCATTGTTACGCGGCCCCTGTCCCGCATGCACATAGCCCTAACTTTTCCTTCACTGATACCAGTCGAGACTGCTGCATGTTTTGCCTGCGAGCATCCAGTTTGCCGTTACTTCTGTTTCCAAGGTTGTGTTTTTCAGACTGTGTTGCTCACGTTCATTCATAATGAACTCTTTGTCGTGTAGACAAACCGGCACTGCTTGGCCCTGGTCCTTTGTGTGCGCCTGTCTCCTGCTTTCCGGGGGGTGTGACCACACTCCTGGCCTCCGGCCTCTGCCAGTGGTGCCCCCCATCCCCCCACCGTGCTGACGAGGAGAGCCCTACAGAGTTGCTCAGACACTAGCGGGTTTACCTCTTCTGTGGCACCTGCCTCACTCTTTACCCTCTCTCCTGGTGTCGGACACTTGGGTGCGTGTTCCGCTTTGGGCCATTTTGCACACCTGTTTCCTTTCATGACGTATGCATCACATGGTTGTAAGTGTGTGTCTTGAAACAACCTGGTACCTATTTTTAGTGTTTCCTTGTGTTTTTTTAATTTATTTTTAAAGTAATCTTGCACCCCATGTGGGACTCGAACTCACGACCCTGAGGTCTAGAGTCCCGTGCTCTTCTGACTGAACCAGCCAGGCGCCCTTTTTTTTTTGTTTTTTTTTTTTTTTTTTTAGGTTTTTATAAAAGCTGTTTTTAGTTTTTAACCCCATCGGACAGTTCCACACTTGGCCAAGCTTAACTGCTGATGGAAGAGATAAGACGTTCATTGTCAACAACGCACAGGCACGGATGTGGATAGCCATTGAGAGACTGCACAGAGAGCAGCAGAGGGAGGCCTGAGTTCAGAAATTGTGTGGCTTATTGTTAGAGATAACTTACTAGAAAAGAAGGACTCGCGGACGGTTGTTGGCGTCCGGTTTCTTTCGCTGCTGTAATAAATTACTATAAACTGGGGGGCTTAAAACAACCCAAATATTCTCTCCTGCCGTCCTGGAGGCCGGAGGTCGAGAACCGAGGTGTGACAGAGCTGTGCCGGCTGCAGGCTCCAGGGAAGGATCCCGCCTGCCTCTTCCAGCTTCTGGGGGTGGCCTCGCTCCTTGGCTCAAGGCCACATCCCTCCAACCTCTGCTCTGTCTTCTCTTGGCTTCTCTGATCTCCATGAAACCTCCTTGGAAGGAGCGTACCAAGGGATTCAGAAGTGCCTGAGAGAAGTGGCCTGAGCCCGTGAGCAAACTTCATTTACCAGGAACTGGGCTGAGCGATGACACCCCGAATGTGGGAAAACCCTTCTCCCCACTTTTCACTTTGCTTAGATCGGCTAGAGGCCCTACAGTGTTTGAATGTGACGGGAAGTCATGGGCCACCCTTGCTCTCTGGGCTCAGAAAGAAAATTCTCCTCAGCCACGGGGGGGATCCCTGGGCTGCATCCAGCCCACTGGGTTTCTCTCGTCCTTTTCCTTCCCATAGGACTGTGCTACCCATGATGTCTGAGACACGATGAAATTCTGTGTAATTGACCTATTCAGAGTTATGTGCAAAGAAGCCTATATATATATATATATATATATATATATAGGCTGTAGCTTTATATATATATGTAAATATATATACACACACACACACAAATATGTATACACACACACACACATATATATATTTTTTATTTTATTTATTTATTTATTTATTTATTTATTTTTTTGAACGTTTATTTATTTTTGGGACAGAGAGAGAC